GGAGACATAGAGGCCAAGAGGAAGCGGCCAGTGAGCCTGCCACCTAGCCACGCAGTGAGCCACGAAGGACGGGGGTGTGGCGGGATGTGGGCTTTACAGTTTGCCAGACCAGGAAGGAAAACTCAGCTCTGTTGCAGCTGCTTGACCTTGGCCCTTCCTGTTGCTGCTTCCTCAACTGTGAAAAGAGCTTACTTCGCAGGGTCACCATGACAACAAGGCTGGATAGGATATGGAGGGCGGTGGGCAGGAGCTCAGATATCTGGGGCTGCTCAGCTTGTGCTGAAGTTGTCCCCGACACCTTTAGCATCACAGAATTTTAGCATTGCCTGACCCCGGGGCAGATCAGCCAAGGAAACAGAGACATCTGCAGTTACTTCCACGTGCTTGGCTTGGAGGGGAGAGATGGAGCATCCCATGTGCCCTCCTAAAGGCTCAACTCATCCCATTTGCCGACCTTTTCAGGTGCCCAGCGGCGTCAAAGGGTGACCTGCCATTCTCAGAGATGAGTGCTATCCCTTTAAGAGGCTCTTCATTGCCAAGAAAAGAACGGCTGGTGACAGTCATGGTTACTATGTATGGTTTTGTTCTTGACTTTTGAAAAGATCCAGAGACAAGCCTTAAAAGTTCACCCAAAAGTGGATGGTGCTTGGGAGGTGGGAGGAAGACCCCATCAGCTGTTGTGCTGGGATGGGTGGCTTGCCTTCCTGAGGGTGGAGGAGCCAGAAGGCAAACCATGGGCAACAATGCCAGTCAACAATTGCACAAATATGGAAGAAAAAATAGAAACTTTGCTCTCCAAGGTGGTGTGGTTTTTCAGCTGCATCCTGTTTAAATGAGATGGAAGTGTCTTGATATAGGAGAGGCAGTGGGAGGCCTGAGTCCTGGAGAGCTGCAGTCAGGACTGCCCTTTGAGACTCAGGACTGGGAGCTAGGGCAGTTCCTCACCAGTGGGGTGGAGACCATTTGCTGCCTAGGGTTCCCCCAGGGATGGGTTACCTGATGTTGGCAGAGATGCCATATTGTCTGAGATCTAGGAAGACCGTTGATGCACTGGCACTATCTTTTCTAGTTGGCAACGTGGGGGCGGGCATAGGGTTAAACAGGAAGCCACAGAGAGAGCAGTGACCTTCTGTGTACAGTTAAACCATGTTCAGAAAGTTTTCAGATTCAAGTTGGCCAGCTGCCTGCCATGGATTCCTATTAGACCTGCTGGATTGTTCTAGAAACCAGACCCCTTCTGCGCAGGGAGGACTGGAGGGGGTAACATGTGAGCTTCGTGTGTGTTGAGAAGCAGAGAAAGCCAGAACTGAGGTCTCCGAGGCATCCTGACATGAGTCTGGTTTCTCTCACTGTCATTCCGGGAATGCAATCAATTATTTTAACAAGGTTCCAAATGCCTCGGCATGTAGACTAAGTGCCTCAAAGTTTATGGCAGTTGCTTATCCTGTTCAACTGCGGCTCATACCAAGTGCAGTAAAAAAAAAAAAAAAAAAAAAAAAGTAAGTAAAAGCAAAACCAAACCAAACAAAACAAACAGGTTTAGGGACCAAGATATGAATGGTTCAGTGCACAGGAACACGTCTTCTTATACAGAGGGACCTGGGTTTGGTTCTCTGCTCACAGCAATCTGGAGCTCCTGTTCCAGTGGATCCAACACCCCCTTCTGATTTCTGAGTGCTTGTGCTCATGTTGTACACATACATACATTCGATTGTGTGCACGTGCGCACAGGCACACACTACGCCAAAGTAGGCGTCCACACCAAAGTGATTAGTTGAAGTTGCAATTATGCTTTCTCTTCCACAAATAGAACTAAAGAGGGAAGCCACTCTGAAGTTAAATGGCTCTCTTATAGCAACAGAGAGAGTTGGCCGAAGCTCTCCACAGAATAGAGAGGGTCAAAATGTTCTCCCACAGAGTTTAGTTTTCTGAGCACCGAATCAATATGGCATCACATTTTAAGCATTTCCTGGAGATACTGGTGGCAGAGATGGGGTAGGGGTAGTTTTCTAGGTTCTAAGTCTTTCCTGCAGTGAGTGGGGTCTGTGGCAGCAGGTCTGTAGGCTGTGGGCATGGGTAGGGACTGAGGAAATACAAGATAAAACCAGGCAGGCAGCAGGAAGGTCCCTCACAGGAACCAAGAGCCCAAACAGGTGTGGTTCCTGTTTCCATTTCAGTGGGAACAGGGTGCAGGTGACAGAACTTTAATATGCTCAGAGCAATGGACCCCCCCTGAGCCATTGAGGCCCGGGGAAAGAGCAGCTTGCTTTGTTGGGAGTGAGAGGACAGGCTACCCTAGCTCTGTCAGGCAGGCAGGACAAGGCCCACTGTACCCCTGTGAGGTTGTGGGGCAGTCAAAGTCTCATGAGAGCAAAGCAGCTTTTGTCAACGCCATATAACTTCTGCTTAGCGGGCCACGCACCACGTTGTCTCAAACACAAACATGCATCTGAGTGGGGCTGGTCTACCCGGATACCTCACTGAGCGTATCCTGTGCCTCTTCCTGCACAGGTACTTTCTTAGGACTGGGAGTCTAAAAGTCCTTCACACCAGCTGTGCCCACCCTTCCTTTCTTCAAAGACTTCATTTCCAACTGATGCTTCTTTAAGACCATAGTTATAGCCCCGTGTGTTTGGTGAGTGCAGTAGGGTCTATTTGTTCTTTGTGTGTGTGTGTGTGTGTGTGTGTGTGTGTAGAACAATGTGAGACCAAAAAAACCAAAACCAAACCAAAAAAGAACCCCACCCCCCCAAACAAAACAGAATGGAAAAGAAAACCCTTGAGATAACATTATATTAAACATTAGTGGGAAAAGAAAAACAAAACAAAATAAAACAAAACACCCCAAACTCAAACCGAACCAAACCCAAACAATAAAAACCCCTAGGATATTCAAGGAAAGCCGTCTACCTTGCCAGCTACTAGATTGAAACATTCTGCTAGGGAGGGGGGGGATTAAAATCATGATTTTTGGCCGTGAAGAGAGAGGGAAGACTACTTGAAATGCTGAGGTGAATGAAGTGTCATGGGATGGCTCTCGCCCCTTCCTCCAAGCAAGCCCCCCCAAAGACATTGATACTGTGGATAGTCTAAATGTTACAGCTCATTTCTGAGGACAGGCCGGAAATAGAAGAGAGGGCTGGGCTACAGAGGCAACTCAGCCAGTAAAAACCCTTCTTACCTCTAAGCCTGATGACCTGAGCTCACTCCAGGACCCAGGTAGGAAAAGAAGAGAGAGCCGACTCCCCCAAACCTCCATATGGCATGTGGTAACATGCATGTCCCCGCACATGTACAGGGAGCCAGGCCTGCACTGGAGTCAGATACAGAGTGGTGGCCTCGCTCCCCATGTGCTGACCTACATGTGGTAAACTAGGCGGCCCTGGCTAAACTCAGTGCGTTACAAAACTAACCAACAAGCCGGGTACTGGGAAAGAATATTAAGGAGGGAAGTTGACAGGAATTGGAGAGTGTAAGAGAGCCTGTGGGGTGGAGGGTAGTCAGAACACCTCATAAGTACATGTACGAACTTATCAAAGAACAAACTTGGTGAGAAATTATGCTTGCTTCTCCGCCCTGCTTTTTTGAAGTCTCCTTGAACTGGTGTAAATCTCAGATTCTCTGCCCCTCCCCGCAACCATATGAACTTCCCAGGATCGAAGTAGATGCTTCCAACAGTCTAACCCATTATTTTAGACACACCAAAAAAGTTAGCAGGCCTGTAGTCCCAGTACTCAGGAGGCTGAGGCAGGGGGATGGAGCATTCAAGGCCAACATGGCCTAAAAAGTGGGTCTCTGTCTCAGGAAAGAAATGACAACAGAAAATGGCTCAGTTGCTAAAGGCACTTGAGGCCTCGTCCCATGACCAGAGTGTGACGTTTGCACACCCCCCCTGCCCCCCAGAGTGGGAAGAGACATTCAAGCCAAGCAAATTGTCTCCTGACATCCATATCCTGTTGTATGCATATACACAGCAAAACAAATTAATTATAAATTAATTAACGCAATTCAGAAAGGAAACAAAAGAAATGGAAAGAATCCCCAGTCCACCAACTGCTGTCTGCTGCTCTTGACTACACATGGAGAGGCTACACAGCACCTCCAAACCAAGGCGACCTGTCTCATGTCGCCGGAGGCAGAGCAAAGCTCCGCCCTTGTGGGAGTGGCTTGTCGGGGACCTTCCAGGGGTGCCGAGTGGGGAAGCTTCCGGAATGTTTATCTTTTATCACTAGGTGGGAGTGTGTAATCTGGCTCTCTGTGGTCACATGGCGTTGGATGTGAGGGAAGGACAGCGGAACAATGCTACCCCAGTCTAACAGAAATGGCGCAGGCCAATTTAGATAGAGGAGGATTAGGAACCGCCCTCCACAGGAACTCTGTAAGAGTTCTCAGAGAGCCTGTACTGGGCCATGGTGACTAAGGCGGTGCTGACTGTCAGCCGAAGGCATTCTGATTTTGTTCCTACCCATGTAAGTTTCCTTCCGGGTTTATCTTCCCTTTACTGAGTTTTTCCTTTTCTCTTTGAGTGAAAAGAAACAAAACAAGACAAAACAAAGGAACCAAACCAAACCAAAACACCCCCCAAAAAATCAACCCAGACATGAATGTTTCCCTTCATTTTGGAATCATGCCCCAAGAAAGGCTTCTCGGATGCTTTTCTTTCTTTCATGAGTGACCTTCAAATTGAAATAAGTGTTTTCAGGTAACATGTTCTAAAAGAAAGTCATCACCATGGATGAAGGCAAACAGTAATGTGAGTCTGAACTGGGGGACCAGACAGATACTTGTCTCACCAACCTCCCAGCTTGGCTAGCTCGGGGTTTCGAAACTGGACTTTCCACTTTACGAGGAAAAGTTTGTTCTCCTCACCAGGAAACACCGCTTATTCCTTTCCTAGGCACAGCCCGGAGCCCAGCAAATCGCAAGGCTGCATGATCTGACCTTCTCTGAATAGGGAAAGGAAACCTCCTGTAACCACCCATGCCCCGGCCTTGTTTTACCTGCCGTATGCGAACCGCCTGTCTTTGTGGTGATCTCCAAAAGTGTCCCAAAGCCTGAGGGAGATGCTTACTTCATCAACAACATCCCTGGACCGCTCCAGGACCTGTAGGAGGCAGAAAGGAAGAGCATGAGACGGGAGAGTCGGAGGGAGGGAGGGAGGGAGGGATATGCTCAAGTGTTCTTCCTGCAGGGGCATCCCCTTGGGGCCTTCCACCGTCTGGTGGGACACAAGACAACTCCTAATTCACCGTCTGTCACATGACTCAAACCTCCTTTGCTGTACCACAGCCATGCCCTCAAGTTTGTCCTTTGCTCCCCCCACCCTCCCGGCACCAAGCAGGTCATTTTTGCTTTAAATACACAATATAATTACCTGCCTTATTTATTTGAATCAGGTTAATAAAGAGCAAACAGTGATGGCCAAAGTATTCTTTTAAAATTTTGTCCCTTCCTTCCTTCCTTCCTTCCTTGCTTTTCTTTAGCCCAAGCTGGCCTTAAAATTCTCCATCCTCGTGCCTCAGTTTCCTGAGCACTGGGTTTGGAGGTCTGTGCCACCATCACAGGCAAATTAGTATTTGTTTTAGCTTTTTTTGTCCTTGAGGAGGCGGGATCTCAAGAAGCTCAGGATGACCCAGGACTGGCTGTGTAGCTGAGGAGAAACCTGTTGTGTCTTACCTCCTGGCAGACACGGTACTGATCAATGGCCCACACGGTGGGCACATGGGTGGCCAGTAGCTGGTATTGCGTCAGGGTGGTGTTGCAGGCCCGGGCACAGATGAGGCGCGTCTTTCCCACGGCGTTGTCGCCCACGACCACACACTTGATGGTCTCCACGTTGGGTCGTTCGTAGTCCATGTCAGAGTCCATTTAAAGCTCTGTAAGAGGACGGTGGATGCCACGTTAGAGAGGCCAAGGTTTTCCACAGCAACCCACAACGGTCCAGCCACGTCCTTGGAGGTGCCCGGGCACAGGCAAGAAGTTTGGAAGCGAAACTCAAGCTTTCTTTTTATATCTCACACTAGAACAAAAACACCACACTGTTATTTTGACCCTGGACAGTTTATTCCGGCGAACGTGTTATTTTCTCCTTGCTTTTCTCTAAACATAACCTGCCTACTGCAGACCCGTCCCAGGCAACTGTTGGCTCGCAGTCATAAGTGGTAGCCACAACATGTTGGGCAGCTCTCGATCCTGGTCACCTGTAAGGGTCAGCTTTGACACTGGGCCTTGGTTGCCCAAGAAATACAGTCATTTGTCTGGGCACAATCTTTTAAACTACCCAATGTCTGGCATTGGGGAGTCATATGCACGTTCATAAAGGCTACAGTGACTAAGAGAAAAACCAAAGCAAAAACCGAAGACCTTGCCCGACGTGAAGCTCTGGGTTGGATTATGACTTGCTAATGAAATTAACTCGAGTCCATTCACTCACTGTTTATGGTGACTGTATAGACAAACAACAGTGGATTCTCAAGGGAGCTCACCAGAGCTAGCTATAAAAAAAAAAAAAAAAAAGCAAAAAAGCAAAAAAGCATTCCCTTCCCTTCAGAGTTTCTATCAAGGAATCTGGAGCACAGGTTGAAGGTAGACACTACCAGGAAGACAAAGTGCTTGAGACTTTCCTGAAATACCAGTGTGTGTGCTTGCATATGAGTATATGAGTGCGTGTGTGTACATGTGCATGCGTGTGCATACATGTGCATGCGTGTGTGTGCATGTGTGGGTGAGTATGTGAAGAGACAGTTGCAGACCCAGTGTGGTAGCTCATAACTCTGGTTTTTGTTGGGTTAAGGGAGGAGGAGTGTAAGCTCAGGGCTAGCCTGGGCTATGTACCAATATCAGGCCTGCCTCAATGAAACAAAACATAGGAACAAACCAGAAGAGTGGAGTCTCAGGAGAAAGAAGAAGAGACATAAAGAAGAAGACACGCCGCTGTTACTTACAGCTACATTTTCCGGAGCCAGGCTCCTCCACACAGAGGAGAGCAGCTGACTGTGGGCAGGAGGCTGTCAGATTTCTGTGAGTTGTAACTGGCCCTTTGAGGAAGTCTAATCAACTGGTCATGTGGTTATTTTCAGAGCTGGTAATTATTTTACCAGCTGTGGTGAAAAACAAACAAATAACCAACAAAACAAAACCAAACCCTCAAATCGAAACTGAAACAAAAAATAAAAAAACAAAACAACAAAATAACCCCAAAGGAAACCTCAGAGGAAAGAGCCTTATACCTAATCAAGACCCAGTAGAGCTGAATTCAACTGACTTGCAGAAAGTCATTCTTTGCATGATAAAGTCAAGAGATAGAGCCTGTCCATCAATGTACAGATAGTCGTCTCACAGTTGGGTCTGGCCTAAAGGTGAAGAAGTTCTGAAAGTGCTGTCTGTCTGTCTGTCAACCTCAGTGTTGTCAGAAGCAGCTGTGAAACCTGAGGCTGGAGAAAGGCTTTTCAGGAAGGCTTTGAGGGGGCAGGTGTGTGGTTTGGGTCAGGATTTGACTTGTTTGCATTGAAGCAGGAGGCTGAAAATAGACAGCCATTCCCCACCTGCCCATATTTTAAAATAAACAAACAAAACATCTTGAGGACAAAAACGAAGTCCAATTCTGATGATCAGCTGGGTGCGGTACTCCCTAAGATTCTGTCTTAACATTCAATGGCATTTTTATTTCCTTGTTTAACAGAGAAAAATGTGGTAGAAGCTTGCTTTTGGCATTGGATGGGTGATTCTTCAGTACCCCCTGGGGATTATCACCTGTGTCTAGAGACCAAAGATAAGATTGTTAAATTCGCCCGATGGCTGCCATAAGAGTATCAAGAGCCATGTGTCTTGGTCACCAATATGGTGAGGGTGGAACCTTGGTGCCTGAGATGGAATGACTTTGAATTCCAGATATCCATCCCCTCCCTGCCTCCACCTATGACTGGGTGGAGTTTACTTCCTGGGCCTTGTTATTTTCTGTCAGTTCAGAGGGAATCGTGGCAAAGTCCATCTCCTACACTCAGTGAGAGGGCTGAGTAGATTGATGTGTAAGTTCTGGGTATGGTCAGGGATTCCATGATGAGGAAGACGGGGTTCTTTCAGACAACAAGCCAATATCAACCTCTGAGGTAAACCCACACACTTAATCCTGACAGAGATCACCCCAAAGGAAAGATTTTCATAAGCACTGACTCAAGGATAACTCACTAGAGACCGAGGAATGTAAACTCAAGATGAGGAGTAGCTGACCTGAATCTGAAAGGAATCAGAACGGAAAGTGTTTGTTTGAGAATGTACTGGTGAAGTTGCCAAGGGTGTTGGGGGCAAAACTGTAAACTGGCTTCATTTGGAACCCCGTAACATTGAAAGGTACATTGCCTTGAACGCCCTAAGAGGTAGGGGAAAAATAAAATCTGTCTTTACTGGGGGATTTGATTGTTTTGGAAGACAATTTAGAAGAATGTTTGAATTTAGGGACAACATAGGAAGAATGTTTGAATTTAGGGACAAGTAAGGCAGGAAACTAAAAAAAAATATAGAATTGATTTTTCCTGTCAGCTAGCAAACTCACTCTGATAGCTGACGCTGAAGAGGAGACCCCCAGTCATGTGGATCACTAATATGATGGTGAAATAAAGAACCATGTTGGTTTTTACATGTGTCTTTGAGGTGGTCAGAAACCCTTTATGTTTCATATCTGGGCTCTTACTGCCAAGATTGTCCTTAATTTTAGGATCTATTTATGTAATTCTAAAAGAAAAAAAAAACAGTGGGTGTCAGAGGTAAAGATAGCACTCATTGCTGGGGTTCTAATCCTAGAAACCTCTTTAGGATCAAAGTATCCTGATTCCTATAGACAGGAGGGGATGATGGGTAAGAGAGAGTGGTTATGATTAGCAGGGTGGAGTTTGCAGTAAGCACCTCCAAACTGCCCAACGCCCTGAATATTTCATTCAGAATGAACAGCTTTCTTATGTATATGACAAGCCAAAAAGTATTGTAAGAATTCAAAACTACAGCCAGAGAGACAGTATCCCAGCAAAACAGCTGCTCACAAGTTACAGATAAACACCCGTTCCTGGAAGCAGGTGCAGAAACAAGCCGTTTTTTACCCCTCTCTCCTTGTAACAGGTTTCGGTTTATTCATATCTACCTATGTGTTCGTGGTTGAGTGCGTTCTCAGGACCATCTGGGTGATCACGGTTTGCTCTCTGATTTTTATTTACTTTCAGTGGGAGTGATAGATAGTATCCATTTGACAGAGTTAATATATTTCACCGTGGTAAATCTTGCTCATCTGTGTGAGCATGCTTTTGCCTTTAGATAAATATCTGAGGAGACAGGAAAGGCAGAAACGGCAGATGTAAACCCTGGGTGACCTTGTCATTGCACAAACTCGGAGGACAAGGAGGCTAAAATACACCTCGAAGCCTCTACCCACTCTGTCTGGATGTCAGAAGTGGTGGGTTGCTGGCGATTGAAGAACTAAAGGAAGTGGCTCTGGGTGCTGTGTGTCTCTTGTTCGTGAGATGGACCTGTGTGCTGTGGTCATGGTCCACATGGTCTCCAGAACATGTCATTGGTGTGGTCATCCCAGACTTTCCTCTCTGCTTGCCGTCATCTCTGGTCTCTATCCAGAGGATTAGTTCCTCTATACTCCAGCCTTAGTCAAGGATCTATGGTCCTTAGTGCACTCAAACCATTCATCCCTTTGGCTGAGTTTTGGGTACCGCTGTCACCAGGAACACCTTACCCCTCCATCTCAAATGCCAGAGAGCAACCCTCAGTGCAACATTACTGTCTTTAAAGTCAGTACTTCATGCTATGAGGCAGAGCGACAGCATCCCCAGCAGCAGGAGCAGTCCATTTCCCTTCCTCTTGAACTTGCTAGCCTTGCTGGGGAACGAGTTCATACGCTAGGGTCCTGCAGGTCCACAATCATGCTACTGGGACACTGCCCCGAGGACACCAGCTAAGGCTGCTGGCCCAGCCTAACTGAGCCCAAGAACCATCCAAATAGGCCTGCAGCGACTGTCCCCAAGGTTACTCTGATCTTCCAGCTTCACGGACCCTTCACGTAGAAGGAGTTTTGTGAATGAGCTAGGTGAAGGCAGCAGGGTAGGTGGGCATGTGCTGGGAGTAATGGCGTCCTGAGAAAGAACAGGTCCTTATTGTCCTAAAGACAGCAGGCTTGGGGGTGACTTGTTATCCTGCAGCAGTTACCAGGAATATACTTTTTTGTTATGAAAACTGCCAGAACTCTGATGCCTTCACTAAGACCACTGCTGGGACAGAATGCCTGACCAGAAACATACAAAACAACAACAAACAAATAAAAACCCAAAACAGCAACAACAACAGACACAAAAAAAAAATCATCTCAAGGAAGGAAGGAAGGAAGGAAGGAAGGAAGGAAGGAAAGAAAGAAGGAAGGAAGGAAGGAAGGAAGGGCTTCTTTTGAATCATAGTTTAAGAGGTTAATCAGTCATGGTGGAGCCGGCAGGACCGCAGCGGGCAGCTGGACACATTGTATCAGCAGTCAAGGAGAGAGAGAAAGAGACAAAAGCTGGGCTGGTCCTTCTATCAACAGTTGAGGAGGAGGAGGAGGAGGGGGAGGGAGTCAGGGGAAGGAGGAGGAGGAGGAGGAAGAAGAAGAGGAGGGAGAGGAATGCTGGTCCTCAGTTCACTTTGTTTTCTATCCTGAGACTCCAGCCCATTGAATGGAGGCTGCCTACGTGTTCAGGTGGGTCTTTTCAACCTGATCTACATATAAACAGCCATGCTCAGAGGGTGATTCTAAAACCTGTCAGGATGACAACCAATATAAATTGGATAAATTTGCAATTTTTGGCCTTTCTTGGATGCTGGATCTTTTCTGCACAGCATTGGTGGGCAG